TAGTTTGCATGTGCCGCACAATAGAAAGAGAGAAAGAGAGATAGACACTCTCTCAGAAACTCGAATTTATTTATTATTACACTAATATTTACGCTCGCTTCCGGTGAAAGAGACCGACGCGATTTTCCTCGAGAAGAAAATTCCACCCCTTCCTCCGTTCGCGAGACGCTGCACATCCGCGCGAGAAAAACGCTAAATAGGTGCTCGCTCGAGGCGAAAGGTTTCTCTCCTTAAGCTCCGGCTTCCTCGTCTTAACGCTTTATTCGTTTAAACCTACGAGGCTCCGGAATTTATAGACGCGCCGTAAAACTCCGGAGAACAAGCGGATTCTGCTCCGAGAGAGAGAGGAGAGAAAGGGGGGAGGGAGAGGGAAAGAAAGATCCGCAGTTTATCCCGACGCGGAGGAGAGCGTCGTCGCGCATCGCGAACTCTCTCGCGAAGACTCGCTCGAGCGAGCGCGCGCTCGAACAGAGGACACGCTGTTCCCACATCTTGTCTCTCTCTCTCTCTCTCTCTCTCTGTCGGTCGTCGTCGGTTTTATTTTCTCTGAAGCTGTCTCGCACGTGGCGCGTATAACGTAACCGCGGCCGGTTGTTTGCAACATCCGCGTTCGCGCCGCCGTTTTGCGCTCGCGTCTCCTTCTCGTGTGTTATTCGCCGTTTCTTTCGGCGCGTTTTTTTACGCGCCGCGGGTTGATTTTTGCGGGTTTCGCGTCGACGCAGCGAAGAAGATACAACAAGCTAGATCTTTTTTCCATCGTCGTCTTCCTCTCGACTCCGCCGAGAGAGCGGACGACGAGAGAATTGAATTCTCCGCGCGGGGGAAACGAGTTCGGAATATTAACAAATTGCGGCGATTTTTAATTTTCCCCCTCTCCCTCGTCTCTTTGTGCGACGACCGCGTATATCTTCTCGTCTTGACTTAATTACGCGCGGATATTAATTTACACAAACGTGCGAGACGCGGGGGGGATCTCGCGCAAAAAGAGCGCGCGCGCGAAGAGGAACTTGGATGAAATTTCGCGCCGTTGAAACTTTAATCCGGGACCAGCTCCGTTGTCGCAATTTAATTCACACATAGTGTCTCGAGTGTGCGTGTACACACAACACACGGCGAGATTGTACGCGCGCTTCTCCGCACGTATGTATTTTCGGCGTTAAATAGGAGGAAATCCTCTCAATGGCGTAACGGAGCGTCACATCTCCCGGGATCTTGGGAGAAAGAAACGTTTTTCAAGGATTATAATTTCGTTGCGCGAGCTGCGTGGGGAGGGGAGGGGAAAACATTTCGCATTAAAACACACACACACACTCGTCGTTTACCGAACCGCGAAAATCTTCTCCCACCCCCGGATATATAACACACACGACCGCAATTCGCTCGTTTTTTCACGGGGATGCGCCGCAGCATCCCATTCTCGATATCCCCGGCCCGTCCGTGTTGTGCGCGATTTCGCGCGGGATAAAAAGCGCGCGCGCGCGCGCGTTATTTTTCCACCCACTCGCCCGAGTTTTCTCGCGAACGCTATTCATCGCGCATATAAAACAACACAACGCTCGCTCGCTCGCGCGCATTCAATGTGATCGCGCGCAGCAGCAGCAGCAGACTTCTCGTTCATTAAGAACATTTCATTTCTTTTGCACGACCCGTCGTCTATTATCTCGCTTCGCCTCGTATCGCCCCGGTTGAATCCGGGATACGTGCGCCGCACATTGAAAAGCGCCCGAGAGATACCGCGCGCGCGAACCCCCGCCTCGCCCCCCTTTCGTGTGCATCCTCCTCCTAACGTTCCTCCGTTGTGTCGACGATTTAGATTTACCTTGGATTCGCCATCGTCCGAAACGCGCAATCGCATTATCAACGGCTGTTTCACGCGCTCTTCTTCACGAGCCGTCTCGTCCCGTGAAAGTTGTAAAAAAAAAAGATCTCTCTCAGTTTGTTTGCTTGTTTGTTTGTTTTTTTTTGTTTTTTGTTTCAGACTCTTTTTTCGGAGAGCTTTTCTCTCGTTAAATTCGTCATACGCGAAAAATCGATTCGTTTTCAAGATTGGAGAGTCTCCGGACTCTCGACCGTATTTACGACCTGTATTTCGCGTAATTCGCCGGACGATCCGGCAGTGGCGACGACGACCCGATGACAAGGGCGACGCGGAATTTTTGAACGGGTTCCAAAAACTTTCCTCGTTTCAATATCATCGCCGGGTCTCTCGCCGCGTTTGTTTTTTTTTTTTTTGTTTCTTCGCGGTGTACACGCGCGCACGCGAAGAAAATAACTCATTTTGACAGCGCGGATCTAGTTTTCGCCCAATAGAATTTCTAAAAAAATCCGTTATTTTATTTTCTTTTTGCTTTTTGTCGCGCGTGTAAAAATATTTTTCTATTCTGGCACGTAAACGTAACCAGTGCAATGTTGTTGTTGTTGTCGATTCGGACACCGCCGCCGAGTTACGTGTGGAAATATCTCGGCGAATTATAAAACGCGAATGCGCGTACGTTTGTGCCAAGAGCGTACGTTTTTGCGGACGAGAGAAAATAGAAACACACATTTTCAAGAGACTTTCGTTTTATAAACGCCGTCGGAAAATAAACGAGCGCGCGCGCGCGCGAAGAGGATTTTCGTTCCGAAAATGCACTTTTGTTAAAACGAGAGGTTTGTAAAAGAAGCCCCCATTCCCGATGGTGAGGCACCACGCGCCGATACGTCGCATTACGCGCGAAGTGAAAATCAGAATAGAAAAGTGTGGCGTTGTTCATTTTTCATTTTTTTTTTTTTTAAGCATCGCATTAATACACGGGCGCGAAGATACACTTTCCGCACAACTTCTTCTTTCGCGAGTTAATAATGTCGAAAATCAAGGACGCGCGTCTCCGCTATTGTGTCGCGCGAGAGAGAGCCGCGGGTGCCATTTTCGCTTGAAAAATTACCGCGCGACAAGTTTTTTTGCGTAAATATTACTCGAAACTTTTCTTTCTCCGTCAGCGCCTAACTGCATTAAGTCTCTCTCTCTCTCTCTCTCTCTCTTGCGAATCGTATAAAACAGCTCGTAAAAAAATGACGCCATACTTCGCACGCGCACAAAAACTACAATAAAAAAAAAAAAACAGAACGCAAAATTCGGCCGAATATCGTTGTCCGAATTTTGAACGGAAGCGCAATTTCGTGATCGCGGGACGAACCGAATACAACATTTGAAAGTTTCGCAGATATTTTTTTGTTTTTTACGAGATGTAATCCATTCTCTCTCTTTCTCTCGTGCGAGACGACGTTTCACTTTTCGCATTTTTCCTTAAAGAAAATGGAAAACAAAAAACGTAATAAATTTTCGCGAGCTCCGAGGCGGTAGCGTTTTCCGAGAAACACAACGGTCGTGTTACCGCTCAGTATTGCGGAACTCGTGCGATTGCACCCGCGCCAGCCACGATCGATATATTTTTCCCACGATACGTCGAAAGCGGGGCCGGCAGAAGGAGAGAAAGAGATAGGAGAGCGCACGAGAGAGCAAAGAAAAAAAAAAAGCAATTACGCGGAAATGCCGGTTTCTCCGGTGAATCGCGAACAGTACCGCAATCGTACGCCTTATCTGCTACGAGATATTGTTTTCTCGCCGGATAGTATTGTTCGTGATCGCGAGATCACGGCTTCTCGGAGCTCTCGCGATCGTCTCTTTTGATGCCAGTTGGCATCTAATCACCGGAAGAGAACTTGAAGCCGGAATTCTGAATGCCCCTGAATATATATTTGGCAAATACATATTTTTCAAGATGTAATTTGCGACGATAACTCTCTCTCGGTCTCAGGATTCTATCAAGCTATGCCGAGATAATATTTCGCAATCTAACTTTTATCTAACGGATAAAAAAAAAAAACGGTCGTTAAAGTTTCTCTGTTGCAACGTAGTTTTTTTTTTTTTTATTATTGATTCGTTGACGAGAAAACTTTCGAAACCAAAAGAAAGAGAAACAAAAGTGTAACGGAGATGTAATTTAACTCAATGGCGGATGTAAAGACGGATGTTAATATACACCGAAAAAATTATATTCTTGTAAGTAGAAGATTTTATACTTAAAAAATCTTCTTAAAGATTTTAGATGATATTCTTCTGAAATTAAGAATATATTCTTTATTTTTAAGAATATATTCTTAAGTTAAGAATATAGACTTTTTCGATAGTGAGATATATATGTTTTTCCATAGAGGCTTTTTATATTCTAATCAATATTACTATTTAGAGGATTTTCCTCTTAAAATAAGAAACTCTTCTTGGCGCCTATTGTAGTATAAAATATACTTAAAGTAAGTGGGATATCCTCAAAATAAGAATACAGTTTTTTCGGTGTATCGTCACTCCCTACGTATAATTACATAAGTGTCACATATGGGATTTTCAGTTTATTGCATAATGATACTTAGAAAGTCATGTTCTTTATGGTCACCAAATATTAAAAAAAAAATATTCATAAATAAGGTACAAATTTGAAACCGAAAGATCCCTAACTATAGGGAAACATATGAAGCTTTATACTTTTAAACTGCTCTCCTCTAAAATTTGCGTTTTGGAGTTACGGGATTATACGTAGGGAGTAACGATATTGCAACACAACAATTTCTTCATTTCTTCGTGCTTGTCAGATTCGAAGCCAGCAGCAAGAAACATGTGTGTCGGCTGGAGATCGTTGCTCGTTCTTCTTTTATACATACGGAACACAGTGTTGCGAAATCGCTCTCCGATGTGCGCGCGAATCGTTACCGTTGGGTCTGACCCAATGACCCGCAATTAACGCTTATATGCCAATCGTAACAAACGTATACACGTGTATACGTGGGTGGTAACCATCGCGTACCATCTTGGATCGAATCATCATCGTTTGACGTGCGAGCGCGAAATGGCGCGTGTAACACACACACACACACGTAATCGTCGCGATTGCGCAACCGTTAGGTTGCGCAACGGTTAATTAATCGCGGGAGATATGTGCAAAAAAAAAAATCTCTCAGTTTACCTTAACTGTGCCGCGCAATCGTTGCAATCGGTTCCATGCTTGATCCGGTAGGTAGATCGTTCTGTAACAAAAAAAGATTCTGTAACAAGAAAATCAAAAAGATCGATCGATTTCGTTGCAAAACCACAATTGTGTTATTTTTTAATCAACAAAAAAACGTTGTTCGCAAATTTTATTATTCCGTTGCATCCGGAAATCACGATCGAGTTTTTTCTACGCGTTCGAAATTAAATCAGCGCTCTCGTAAATAAATCTTCTTCCGTCCGCGCCCCAGCAACAATTACGTTCTGTGTGTTACAATATACAAACACCGTGTATTACAACAACGGGCGAAATTAGATCATACAAAAGACCGCGGTAAAACAAAACGCGGGAAATTAATTCCGCCGCGCGCAGAAAGACGCGAAGAGAGAGAGAGACGCTACCGAAAATAAACGTGCGCGCTCGGTATTCGGTTGAACGCGCGTTTGCTAAGGCATCTGCCTGCAGTCAGTCACCTATTTCTGTAAAATCGGTGTTGAAAAAAAACAAAAAAAACGCGGCCCCCTCGAGGCGAGTTTACGAGCGTAGCGTCGGATGTCACGAGGAGGGGAGGGCGGGAGTTTGCGTAACCGCGCGACCATATTTTTAATCCGGCGGCGTGTAAATCGCCGCTTTTAAAGCGTAGCCGGGGAAAATCGTCGCTCGCGCTCACCTAAAGTGCTCCGACTGTTTAAAAGTGCTCGTCCGAGCGAGAAAGGAGCCCCGAAACCCGCCGCCGCCGCCGCTGCGCTGCAACGTCGACCGACCCGGCAATAATGTAATGGGGAAGTTTAATGACCACATCACTGTGTGGGCAACGTTCACCGTCGTACGTGCAATAACAATTAGCGACAGAGGGTAACAGATGTTGGGCCGCGGGACCAGGCAAGGGCCAGGAGCTCTCTCCGTAGAGAGGTGAACGCGGGAGGGAGACGCGGGCTTTTTGTTCTCGTGACGACGGAACGCATTTTGCAAGGGCCCCCCATTTGTCGCCTCGTTAAACGAAAACACGCGCGTCGTCGCGACGACGAATCGCGCAAGCAACTCAATGCAACGCGCGCGCGTTGCGTTAAAGTGAATAAGTTCGCGCCACATCGACGCGGTGCGAATTCGAGCATCGAGAATCGAGTCGGTTTGTTTCTCGCAATTTCTTTTTTTTTTTGTTTGTTTTTTTTTTCAAGCAATGCACTTGGATCGTGTTTCGTAAAACCGAGCGACGAAACAGACTAAACAGATCGTTTTTGGATTTAAAATAAAAGAGAATATAAAAAATATATTTTAAAATGTACAATAAAAAAATAAATATTTAAAATTGTTTTAAATCGTGCGTTGAGTACGTAGTTTTTCAACGACGTGAAATTTTACTGCAATCTACGATCGCGGAGAAATAACGGACGTGTAATAAATATAATAAAAAAAAATAATTAAAAAAAAAAAATTAAAAAAATACAGAAAATGCAAAACAGCAAACGCTGAGTTTTTGCCCGGCAATACTCGACGTTACAACGGCACTAATTTTAACACCAAGCAAGCACAACAACAAGCAAGACTGTTGTTCTAAGACCGAGATACCGATTGTACACGACAAACGAGCAAATATTAGTCGAGCACATGCTGCGCCTACTGAACAATTAGGTGCCACGCGAGAGAGACTGGGGGTGTGTGTGTGTGTGTAGTGCGTAAAGGACACGTACGTAAAACACACACACACGTATGTAACAACGGATGAGGATTCAATGGCGCGTAATAATAGCAACGAGAAAAATCAATGACGCGTAATGCGCATTTGTACCTCGATCGCGTCATACGCCGGATGGCCAATGAAAAAAATCCGCGCGATCACGGAGGAAAAATATTCTCCGCGTGTAAATTAAAATAAAAAAAAAACAAAAGTCGAGCAGAGGAGAGCAGCGAAGCCACCCGTCGCGACTTTTCTCTCGCGGGAATCGCGCAAAGACGCATCGCGCGGCGCATCAACGTTGTGCACATGTATATCAAGCCGAGAGTGCGCTTTCGAAAAACAAAAGTTCGCCGCGAGTAGTTGTTGCGCGCGCGAGCGGTTTATTTTATTCCATGAGGGAAATAAATCGAGGTTTCTAGCACGAAAACGGAGAGAAATTCCGAAACCCCTTAATTAAACGAGTAGACGGCTTTAAATTGTTGATTCGGAAATTTGCATCTCCCACACTGTGAGCGGAATGTTCTTTCTGTCTCTCTCTCTCACACACACATTCTCTCATCGTCGTGTTTCTCGAGGGTAAACCTACTCCCCCGCTCGAAGAACCCATGGGAAAAGTGACGGGAATACGACGATATGGGCGCGAAAGGCGAACGGAGAAAGATGCCGCGGATCGGCGTCGGCGGTGGATATCGATCACGAAACATTTGCATGGAAATTTCTTGCGGCGCGGCGAGCGTTACCGGTGATATTTCTCCCGCGACCGGAAGCGGGATCCGGGGGCGCTCTTGCTCTCTTCCAGAATTTTCGTGAGGGCTCCCGAAAGATCGATCTTACGAGCGAAGTCGGCAGCTTGAAACGACCGACTGTAAATTTCTGTACGTTTGTTCGCGAAGAGAGATTTGTTTCTCTCTCTCGCGCGCGCACGAGTTGGATGCAATAAATAAAAGCATTGTCGGGTCATTGTGTTGAAGATTCATTTGGGTGCGAAATTAATTCTAACGTTTCTTGTTATCTCGTTCGCAGGATTGCGGAAAAAATTTCGAGCGCGCAAAAGATCAATTTTACAAAAAAATCAGCTAATTGGTTACTCGAACGCCCGGGCGAAAAATTAATTAAGTCCCATTGAGCGCGCGACGAGACAAAGGCGAGCCACTAATCTAAAGAAACGTTCCTTTGACGGATGCTTTTTTTTTTCTTCCTTAGTGCGCGCGCGCGCGCGCGCGTGCGCGAATTTAGGACAGTTAATTAAGGCAAAACCTCCACAATAGCGCTCTCTCTCTCTCTCTCTCCCTCTCTCTCTTTCTTGTGATAAGTTTGTACAGAGAGCTTCCCCACAAAGCTCGCGGTTTGAGGTAAAGCAAAATTAACCCTTAATCTTTCTCATTAACGCAGGTGGGGAGAAGAATTTAACGGAACCGAGAGAGGAATCGTAATTTCCAACGTTTCCAGTTAATCAGTTCTCTCGCTACAAACTCTTGTAATTAAATCGAATACGCCAGGCAACGTGTCCGTCTTCGAATTGTTTTTTTTTTCAATTTTAATTTTCAAACGCAAATTTAATCTATTTTTCACGACAATAAATTGCGATTCAAATACAATATTGATACATATAATACATTAAACAAAATTTAATAAGTTTATATTTATATAATTGTTTATATGTGTAAATAACAAATAACTTTTAATTAATACCTCGTGGCGAAATGCTGCGAAATTTTGCGATTCTCTCTTTCTCTCTCTCTCTCTTTCAGCACAAAATAAATCTCGAGCGAGAATTCTCTTGCCCGCTGTGAGACGCGCGTGGAACAAAGGCGGATCAATATCGGTTAACGAAAGATTCAATTATCTTTTACAGCTCGGATCTCGCAAAGCGGAGTCAGATGCGGCGTAGGCAGGCGTATCGTTTAGTCGACGAATTAATTCTCTCTGTCTCGCTCGCTCTTTCACACCTACGCGCTTACGTCAGCCTCGAGTTGTGCGCGCGTTAGTAAGTCGCACACAAACGCACGCTCACACGCACTTATACACGAATATATACGCCGCGCATCTCGGCGAGACTTAACCGAGCGTGTGTGTATATACATATATATACCGCTATGAATAACCCGAGTGAATCGGGTCACGTTCAATGTTTTTACGCTTCTTTCGCGAGGGATGTTACACGCGCGACGTGTTTGCGTAACGCTCCTCGCGAGGAGCGCCGGAATATATCCCAAGTGTTTCGAGTCTAATTCTATTTTCCGCTCTCGTATCTCTCTCTCTCGTATAAAATATCTTTTATATTTTTCGGACCCTTCAAAAGATACGCTTTGACGACGACGCGTGCGTGCGTCTAATCATAAAATTAATCTAATCTCGATCAATGTCTCACACGTGTGTCTCTTATGACATCACACGAGAAATGTCTATCTCTGTAATTGTCTGATCTCTACACCGAAAAAATTATATTCTCGTAAGTAGAAGATTTTATACTTAAAAAATCTTCTTCAAGATTTTAGATGATATTCTTCTGAAATTAAGAATATATNTATTACTATTTAGAGGATTTTCCTCTTAAAATAAGAAACTCTTCTTGGCGCCTATTTTAGTATAAAATATACTTAAAGTAAGTGGGATATCTCCTCAAAACAAGAATACAATTTTTTCGGTGTACGCACGAATGTTGAGACGATAATGGGTGCGATGTTTAATGTTGCGAGCTAATCCAATCAAAGTTCTCTGCGATTATCACCGGAAGTCGATGAGATAATTAAAATATAAATTAGATGTTAATATAATAATGTGTAATATATTTTTTTAGCAACACGAAGAGTTTACACACCGAAAAAATTATATTCTCGTAAGTAGAAGATTTTATACTTAAAAAATCTTCTTCAAGATTTTAGATGATATTCTTCTGAAATTTAATTTAAGAATATAGTCTTTTTCGATAGTGAGACATATATGTTTTTCTATAGAGGCTTTTTACATTCTTATCAATATTACTATTTAGAGGATTTTCCTCTTAAAATAAGAACTCTTCTTGGCGCCTATTTTAGTATAAAATATACTTAAAGTAAGTGGGATATCTCCTCAAAACAAGAATACAATTTTTTCGGTGTACGAGATTGAAAATTAATCGCAAATTTTTGCGAACGGGGAAAAACTGGAGTAGGAAATGACAGAGGTGCTTTCATAGATCTTTTCTTCTAGCCGCACGTGTGTCTTCTTCATTTGTTTGACTTTTGCGCGCAACTTCCGCGAAACTCGAAAAAGACAACACACGCTCGGCGACACTCGCTTCCGCGATGACGTTAGCGAATTTAGTTTTCTCTCCCTTTGAAGAGCGTTATTCTCCGCTCCGATTTCCGCGGAATACCTCTTATACCTCGCGAAATGAAAAAAATTCAACCGCGTTACACACGCGAGGATTAAAAAAAACTCTCTGACACGAGAATTGTCTGAAAACTCGGACAAGTAAGTAAGCGGGATTATATGCGCGTGTATATATGCGCCGAGAGTAAATGCGTAAAAAATTCTTTCGCAAATGTAATCGCGTCCCATTGTTTTCCGCCTTCCTTCCTAGGGAAGGCCGTGTGTGTGTTTTTTTCTTCACCCTCGCGTGGTATTCTCGCTAAAGAAACACAAAGATTATTGCGCGCGCGTTCCTTCCTTCGCTCGACCTAATTAAAAAACCGAGTCTCTAAGTCTCGCAGCAGCTGATCGCGCTACAAACGCGTTTCCACTCACATCGTGTGTGTTTTTCTTCCTTCGTCGTCGCGAACGAAGAATTTCTCCGAACGTGCGAACGTCGAAACCTTTTGTTACGAGACGCGCGAATTATAATTTTTACGTGCGGCTCGCGGGGCCGATATTTAAAAATCCGAGTGCGAGAAAAACACACATATCTGCGCGTCCTCGCGCGTTTCGTTTCACGCACGCACAAAACGAGCGAAACGTGTAACGCGCGTGTTTACTTCCTTTCTCTCCTCCGCCTCCGGTCTCTCGCTTTCCGAGCTCGTTACTTTCCTTTGTTCCCGCGACGAGAGAAACGGAGTGACCGCGACGAGAGGAACACACACGAACGAATCCCCCCCCGTTCGAACAAACCCCGACCGATGATGTGAGAGAGCCACGACCGTGACCCGTTCGCGCGATCTTCCATGTTTCTCCGATTCTTCTTTTTGTTGCGCAAACCCGAGAAAAAAATCTTTCAACCCGACGTAAAAGAGCCCGTCGTCGTCGTCGTTCTCTTTCGTTTGTTTTCGATGACTGTACTCTCAGTAACAGGCCGACCCCGTCTTTCTCTTCGCGGAATAATCTGTACCGTTACGAGATCGGAACTCCATCTCGATGAAGAAAGAAAACCAATGAGAAAGAAGGGCAGGATTTTCTCAGACTATATCGAGTACGCGAAAATGTTGTTTCTCTACGTAAAACAAGCGTGAAAAAAAAATCGATGGGATTTCGCGCGCGACAGGACAACGACAGATCGCGTCGAATTTATCGTTGCTCGACATTTGACGTCGATGCGAAAGATGAATGACGCACGCGAGGGGAAGAGAAGAGGCGGAGGAAAATCGAGGTTTGTTCCGCGAGCGTCTCCGGATGATATCATTCGCGCTCTTCTACGCAGCAGCGCGTCGTTACATCCGTCACGGCGGAGGTGTGTGTGTGTGACTCACGTCGTCGTGTCATTACGAGAATCGCTCGAGTTTAATTGCGTTATGTAATCCGAGAGACCGTGTCGAGGTTTGCGCCGACATCGAAACCGAATCACGGCAAGAGAGAAAAGTCAGTCGCGCGGAAGAGAGGAACGTTCACTTTTCGGTCGCGCGAAAAGTTAACAGCTGAGCGCGGCTGTGGGCCGGCATAATCGTCAAAAATAGCGGGCATTTCGTCGAGATCGCGGGCAGTAGTCGTCTCGTCTAGAAATCGTCTTCTTCGACATTGAACACCGCCGGGATCAGATTTCCTCTCGACTTGCTTCTCGGGAATGCAACGGGGGTGGGTAGGTTTCGGGATTTTTCGCCCGAAGGAATAAATTGATAAAAGCTTGCGCTCGCGCGAATATACGAGTTGTATATGTGTGTAAGAGATTGGAGAAGAAAAATATTTCCGTTCTTCGCCAACTGTTCTTAAAGAATCTAATAAGACACGCGCGTAGTAAACGCGCGCATGAATATTAAAAAATTCTTTCTTCTTCGGTTTCTCCTTTGATTTTTTATTCAAATCCGACCGGTACAACTACACCCGCGGAGTAGTTTTTTGTTTTGCCCCCCAAATTTTGATAAAAGTTTTCAACTGAAATAAAATTTAAAAATTTGGCGGTTTTTTGTGGTCTGGTGTAAAATACTTAAACGTCGCTTGTGTAACGCGAGAAATATTCAAAAGAACAGGAAAATTTCATGGCCCTTTGAAGCAAAAAACACAGGTGATAATGTGTGTGTAATATTAACGTTCAAGTACGTGATATATAAAACGTTTTCAGCCTTTGATTAGGCCTTTATCAATATATATCTACAAAGAAATCAAATGTTAGATTCGCAAATTTTATAGAATTACAATTACAACTTACAGAACAATTAGATGTAAATGGTCGCTGATTAACGTACATAATAATGTTGTTCTTGACAAAATCTTAATCGAGTCACATGATTTCAATTTGGTAATACAAAAGCAACTGAAGACCGACAGAAATGTACAACGGTTTAAATATAAATAAAAATGAAAGTCATTGTCAACGCTCAAGCTACACTATAAAGTATTATCAACAAAAGGTAAGTATGATCGATCAAGATTTTCAGTGTCGCTATGCAGGTTAAGACCATGGCTTTGGCTTCGTATATATAGAGTTTCTGATATCAATCTTTTAACGTAAGATTTTTCATTGTCTAAAATTTTTATATTGTCCCAATCAAAATCATGGGAACATTGAATCCTGTGGTCTGTGATAACCGATCCTTGAGAAGAATTTCTTCTAATATGATTTTTATGTTCGTTGATTCTTAGATGTAACATTCTTCTAGTCTGTCCAACGTATGAAGCATCACAGTTCAAACAATAGCATTTGCAAGCCTCTCGCAAATAGACGAGGTGGTTAAAAGGAGGAGACGCGCGGAGAAGGAGGGGAGGAGACCAACGTTTCTCATTTTGAGATCCGTATCGGTATGGTGCACATACGATATTTGCCTTCTACATCTAAGTGTGTGTGCATATATATATATATATATATATATATATATATATTAACGCTCTCGGGTCGTAAACGATAAGCGAGCCGAGTGTATATTGTGTTCGTAACACTGCGAACAAACTTGCCCGCTCGGCCTTTCACGGCGTAGAACGCGAGCGAATATAATATCGAGCGATCGCTACATGACAGCGCGCGCGCTTCGACTTGTTTCGCAGGAGGCAAACCCGCATCTCCGCTGTTCGACAGCGAAAACACAGCTTTTGCACAGCTTTTCGAACACACTTGTTATTCTTGTCGTTGCATTTTTTTTTCTTAAACGTCCAATTTTGCGACCTTATTTAAAAAACCATCGGCAGCAGTTACAAATGTAAGGCGGACAAAATTGTGTGTAAAATCTACCTCGCGCGCTAAATTTCGACTTTTCCGTCGGTGTGATGTAATATTCAACGAATATTGGACTCGCACCGCTTTCGAAACAAATGGATTCGTCCGGGAGGAACGTCGGACGCGCGCGCGATGCAAAATATAACTGTGCGATGCGCTTCTAACGCATCACATTTAAACGTCGGGAAATGGTCGGCCGTGCGGTTTGCGCGTTTTGTCTTCGACACGGTCTCCGAATCAGCGAGCGTCGTCGTCGTCGTCGTCATCGTCGTCGAGAAGTCGCGAAACGCGCGAGAGACGTGCCGCGCCATTTCGCGCGTCACGCGATCGAAGCGTTTCGCCGACGGCTAGTACGGGCACGTCTTCGCTCCGAAAACGCGCGCGTCTTAGACGAGCCAAGGTGAAAGGAGAGAGAGAGAGATCTCGAGATCGAAAGCTAAGATTTATCATACATGTAGCGATAATTTTTTTTTTTTTATATCAAACGCGCGCGACAGAAAAAAAAACGCGACGAAAACGCGGCTTCTCGCTCGCCGCAACTCGGCGAGACGACGACGCTCGTCGTCGTTATTGAACGGACCCGAAAACGCCGTACTTTCGGTGCGCGTGCACGCACACACAGAAACGAAGACGACGACGCCTCGCCGCGTCGTCGTCGTCGTCGTCGTCGTCGTCGTCGTCGTTTGCTCGTTCGTGCCAACGGAACGAACGGTGATTGCTACCTGCCCACCTTTCTTCAGCGCCAAAGTTGCGTCCCGCGTCCGGGTGTTCCGCAGCAGAGACGACGGCAGCGATGCGGTAATCCAATATGGCAGACTATACACATGTCAAAACAAACGCACCGAGAGCGAGAGCAGCGCGCGACGACGTACCGCCCGGAAACGTGCCTCGGGTTTTGAATTCTCTCGTCCCTGCGATTTGTGCGCTCGTGTGTGTGCACGTGTCGACGCGGCCGCGTCGCGTCGCGAGGTATCGCGGACGCCAAAGGACCAAAGCGCGGGCGGAATCACTGTCGTCGTTTTTGTCGAACGATATATATACGGATTTGAAGAAAGGTAACACGGATAGAAAGAGAGAGAAAACAGATAAAAGAAAAGGAGAGAATAGAACGGTTACCCCAAAATCGCGGACACGAAACGTACGTTGCAAGCGCCCGCCGTCGACTGGCAGCGGCGACGTGCCGACCAGCGGGAGAGGGGGCGAAGCGCGAGTGGAGGGGAGAGCGGCGAGACTGCAGTGACGCTCAACCAGGACCGAACGCGCGACGCCCTTCGCCCTTGTTCTCTTCTTCTTAATTCTCTTGTGTTTCTCGCCTAGTAAATTTTGTTTTACCTTCCCTCGTCACGTTTTATGTTCGTTCCTGCATCCGATATTTAATTATTTCACGCGTTAGCATCAGATACGATACTCGGGATTAAAATTTTCAAGCTTGATCCGAGGTGAGATAATATTAACGAAGAAACAGAGACAAACGCGAAAATTTCATTATTGATTTTCAACAAGCTAGAGTTTTTATTCACATTAACAAAATATATTCAAAATAAATTAACTCGAAATATATTGGAAGAAGAAATATATTACGCACTTTCTATTTATCTATTACGTAACGCAGCCGGTTATCGGCGCGATTTTCATAAACGCGATATCCAAAGTGTAACGCGATAATCTATGAGATGTTTGCACAATTCGTAGGAAATTGATTGCGCGAGCGGGGCGCGCGCGACGATTAAAACGTTTTAACTGCGCGCGGTTGTGCGCGCTCTAACTTGTCGAAACTCAATAAAATAATTACTCCTAATATAATACGCAACCATAACGGGAAGACGCAAGAAACTACAGTCGGTTGTTGTGTGCAGCACAACAACAGGCTGCGGAAGTTGCCGGGGCAAAATCGAGCGGGCATTAAGCCGAGAGGCAACCATTAGAGTCAGGGTGAGCAAAAACCCTTGCAAACGTTGATAGATACAAACGCGAAAGCGCGACTCGGCGGTGAACCGAGAGAATAAAAAGACAACGCTCTCGCTCGTCTAACAAGCGATCTTCAAATTTATCTTGGCACAAGCGCGCCAATCGGTTGTTACACGTACATCTGTTCCATCAATTGTTGTATAATCAAAAATAATTAGCGTTTGCTGGCGCACGTCACTTGTTGAACACACACACACATACTCGGAGCGTTGATTTCCGCGCAAAACGAGGAAAGAGCAATTAAACCCGCGATCGAGGGTGTCGTCACAATCCGGCGACACTCATCTTCGCGCACAATGTGTGCGCGCGCCAACATCGATTCGTCCTCCGAACCGAATCCTGCGAAAGGGGGGCTTGTAACGCGCGTATCCTGTTCTCTCCTCCTCCGTGTTCCCGCGAACCAAGCCATTTAACATTTCTGCTCCACATTTCCGCGCGTTCGCTCCCCGGAGCGGAGCGAGAAGTCGCGGCTCCGTTTCTCGCAGAGACGACAATTCAAGGAGGAAATTGACGTGCAGATGCGAAAATCGATCGTTCCGCGCTCTTAACAACGACGTTTCGAGCAAAAATGACCGCGCGATCGATAAATACGTCGAGTTAATTTTGATGAGAAACGACAAAAAAAGTTTTTATTCTATTTTTTTAATTTAAATTTTTATTTAACGCTGCGTCTCGCGATAATTGACATTCCCTCGCGTCGGGAGCGAATCTTTTGATCTTCGCGACAGAAGTCAGCTAATCTTTCTTAACAAGGACATCGACTGGAGATTAAGGCGGCGCACAGACGAGAGAGAGAGAAAGAGAGAGAGAGAAAGAGAGAGAGAGAGAGAGAGAGAGAGTAATTAACGATTCGTCTTCTAACGAGAGAGCGCGCGGGATCGTAGAAATCCCGAATGTAAACTACGGCGGAAAGATAAGCGACAAAAAAAAACCAACGCACCAACCGGCAGGAAAGCGGAAGCAATTAAAGACTGAAGAATTGTTAAACGACTTGAAGCCCTTCCACTCGTCGTGTTGTACCCCGGCGCGCAACTACGACGACAGAAAGCAAGAGAAGAGTAGTATCAATGTAGTCAAGAGATGATAGATCGTTACTTCGTCTCGTTATTTCGCGAGCGAAATTCACAGACTACAGAAACGAGAGAAGAGTCCGACTAATCGAGACGAGTTTCCAACCGATCTTTTTCCACGGATCGCGCTCTTCGGAAAACGTTTCTCGGGAAAGAAGGGCCTTCGACAGCCGCCTCATGTGTGCGCGAGCTAATTTAACATATTCCGCAATCGAGTACTTTGAATGGAACTGTACACGCGCTAGAGAGAAAGAAAGAGAACGATTGCATTTACTTGTGTAACTACAAATTTATTATTTTATATACTTATTATTTTTTTTAATACTAACACAACACGTGACTAAAGCCATGTGACAGGAAAAAGAGTAAAAAAGATAATATTATTTAATATTATATAATATAAGATAATATTATATATATATATAATATATATTATAATATATATATANTTATAATATATATATATTATATATTATATATATTATTATATATTATATATATATATTATATATATTATATATTATATATTATATATTACACATTACATACATATATACCGTAATTACATGAGCAAAGTCAGTGACTTCGCCGCGGTCGCGCGGCTGAGGTCAGTGACCCCACCGCGGTCACGCGACCGAGGTCAGTGACCCCGCCGCGGTCACGCGACCGAGGTCAGTAACCCCGCCGCGGTCGCGCGGCCGAGGTCAGTGACCCCGCCGCGGTCACGCGACCGAGGTCAGTAACCCCGCCGCGGTCGCGCGGCGGACGTCAGTGACTTTACTGTAGTACATATGTAATACATATAATGCAATATAAAATATAATAGTATGAATATAAATAATAAATAATAAATTATATGTATAATATATATTATTTAATGTTATATATAATATAAATTACAGTCACACGTTACTTTAGTCGCGTGTTGTTTTTCTATTCTTTCTTGTCACGCGACTTTACTTTAGTCACGTTTTTCATTTTCTCCACATATACGACGAACTGTCACAAAATCGCTTTTCCGTTAATATTTACTGTCTCGATTTTACTGATTTGATTCGATCTCGGACTCGACTCGATCAACCAACCAACCAAGAAGCAACAAGATAGATGCGATATATTCGATATGAAAACACGCACTTCACACATGGATACACATGGATTTTTTTATACAGGACACAACAGTCCGAGCTAACGATCGTTTGCAGTTTCTGACCGCGTCGTTTTTTGCAACCGCGACGATCTCTCGCGCGAGATCGTCGTCGCGGCATTTTACGCACTTCGAACGAACGCCGCGTATCTTAATTGATTATTCCTTACGCAAAAAAAAAAAATCTTCACCTAATTCAATTTCTTCGCGACCGAAGCGTCAATTAGCGTGCGTTATCCGCGGCGTTTTGGCGAAGCCCCTTCATTACCGTAATAGCGGGCGAGAGAGAGCGCGATCGAAAGCTTGCGGAGCGAAACTTCATTAGCGTAATTATTCGCGTATTCTTCCAGAACTAATATAATCGTTACAACCGCGTCGTCGAAATATATATTTGCTCACGTGAGTACGCAAGAACTCGCGCGCGAGAAACGGGGGTCGTCCTTCTCGCACGAGGCGAAGGGTATATTCTCGCGAGCCTCGACCTCCCCTCTCGCACCTCGTCGAGAGCGCAGACGGTCGATCGATTTCTGAATTAATCGTTTCGTCGGAAGACGGCGCGACTCGGAGTCTCGCCCTTCGACAACGACGAGGTGCGCGGCAACCACCCAACGCCGTCGGCTCTTCACCGGCGGTTGGGGGAATAGAAGAAGAAGAAAAAAAAAGACACGCCGCGCGAGAAAAGGGGTGCACCCGAAGCGGATTACGTCTCGTAAAGGTACGATTTATTGTTTCGGAAGGTGCCGGTGATCAAAAGACACTCTCCGTTTGAAGTGTGTTACTCGCGCGGTTCCGGGCGCGCACGCCCGGACGAATACACGCGTATACCGACGACTTTTATTCAAAGAGAGTGAAGTCGAAGACGCGCGCGCGAGAGCAAATCGAAAGCCAAAGAAAAACGACGCTCATTTATCGACGCCGGAAATGTTTTTTCCAAGAATTTTAAAAATTAATTGCGGAAAAAACTCGCTTTCTCCAACGAATTTGTCCAATTTCGTAAAATTTTCGCGGAGGGAAAAAAACGATCTCCCGAACGCGTTTTAGTCGTCGATTGATCTCTCGACCGGGTCAAAATCGTCCCCGGGTGTCTTCGAACGGCAGAGTTCCGTCTGGGGAAACTCGTGCTTGGGGGGTCGGCTATTGGACAATAAAAGAGAGCCGCGAGCGAAAGAAAAATCGGTGTTGAAAATAAAAATTGGCGCGTAACAGGAGAGAGAGGACTGTCGTGAATTGATTTCGCCGTTGAAATCTTTTTTCGTTTTTTTTGGTTTCGTCATTTCCGCGCGCAACGTCGGTGTAATCGGAGTGCGCGCACCGCGATGCAACGCGACGTCGCGCGAGGAATTCTTAGAGGAATGCTTAGCTAAGGAACTCACGGGGGAAAACGGGTCGGGCACGCGCCAACGTTGTTTACGAATGATTTAATCTATCCGTCGTGTTTAGAGAGACGCGGGCGCGCGAATCCGGTGCGCTGCACTATGCGAGAACACGCGAAATGTAACGTTCGGTTTAGCCGCGCGCGCGTGTTGCTAATGTGTAATAAGAGAGAAAATGGCGAATATATTACATGCGCGCGTGTATTTGTGTGTGTGTGTATATACGCGCGATGACCAGTGTTGGTGTACGCGGACGGGAGTTAAATTTGCGAACGTTTCAGCGCGGCCGCGTAATAGCTCGCAGCGTGGGAGCGCGCGGTGTCTTATTTACTCTGCGCCGGTTATATATTTGCGTTCGAAAGCATCGGTTCAATTTACCAGGCGTCGTTTACCTTGTGCTTTCGCATTTCCAAGTTCCTCGGCTGCGGCATATCGGCACTTAAAACGCTCTCCTACGCGATCATGAAAACGACCCAGAAACAGAGCGCCGAGTTTTCGGAGATCGCGCGCGGCTCTTTGCCTCACCGTAATTGTCTCACCGCGTCGGAGCGCGAGAATCCCCGAGTCGAAATTTAACGTCTACATTGAAC